AAACCTCTCCACAGTATTGTGTATCAACTATATCTCAACTTGAAAATTATTGTACATCAACTATACCTCAATTAAAAAATAAGAAAACAACCCACAGACATAGAAAACAAACATGGTTACCAAAGGTGTAAGTGGGAGGGAGGGACAAATTAGGAGTTTAGGATTAGCAGATACAAACTACTATATATAAAATAGATAAACAGCAAGGTCATACTGTACAGCACAGGGAATGATATTCAATATCTTATAATAACCTATAATGAAAAACTATGAAAAAGAATACATACATGTGTAACTGAATCACTATGTTGTATATCAGAAACTAACACAACGTGATAAATCAAGCATACTTCAATTAAAAAAAAACAAAACAGAAAACGAAGAAAAACCTCTCCAGAGGCTGGAAGAATTAGGTTGAAACTAACAAGAGTAATTGTAGCAAAAGCAACCTTAGAGCTCTGGTACGGGAACAACTGCGCAGCTCTGAAGGAGGCAAGGTGTCCATTTAGGATTTCCTCTGGGAAAGACCAGATCCTTCTAGTTGTTGACAACTTAGTATTGGGCTATAGTCACTACAAAAAAAAAAAAAAAAAGATAATGCGAGTTTATGTCCCAGTAGTGAAGTACAGAATCCGGACGAGGGAAAGAAAGGTTGCTCTATGCCATGTGGTTCAGGCCACATCTGGAGCATTGTTTTCATTCTAAGGGCACATTTAAAGACAATGTCGAGAAAATTGGAGTCTTCCCAGCTGGAACTTTTTGTTGAAATCATGTTATAAAAGGAACAGTTGGAGGGACTGGTGATACTCAGCCTGGAGAAGAAAAATCTAAGGGAAGACATGCTAGCTGTCTTCCACAACTGAAAAGGATTTTTCTGGATTGCTCCAGAGAACATCACCACTAGGACATAGGGTGGAAGAACAGTCGTCCAGATTTCAGCTTGAGTGAAGCCTCCTCAGCAACACCTTGCCTGAGGTAGCCACCCAGGACCAACAGGTAATCCTATTTTAGTTTTTAGTATTACAGATATCATTACCTATTACTTAATTTTCCCCTACAAATTATAATTATTTCATTTGTTTTTTGTCTGTTGGTCTGTTTCTTCTCACTAGAATATAATTTCCCTGAGAATCAGGTCACTTCAGCCTTGTCCAAAGTTATATACAGTAGCTGGAACAATGTTCCTATAAATATTGAATTAGTTTACAGAGAAGCAGATTTGGATTTAACAGAAGAAAAAAATTTTTTTACTGTGGAGATAGAGTTGAGGGGGAGGGCTATCAGTCACTGAGCATACTTTATATTAACCAGTTTTATCTTCAAAGTTTGTCATTAGAGATTTTTTGAGCACTTATATGCAGAAATAGGCAAAGAAGACAAGGCTCAGAGAAGGTGGTTAACTTTGCTTTACCCCATGTTGCTAGAACTCGGACTGTAATCCAACCTGTCAGTTTTCAAAACCAGTGGGCTTTACAGTAGATCATAAAGGGAACAAGGTTTTTATGATGAATTTCCCATCACTGGTGGACTGTAAGCTGGGGATAGATGACCAGCCATCAGGGTGTTAAGTTATACTAAATAATGGATTCTTTAACTGGGTGGGATGTTGGATTAGATCCAACCGTAAGATTCTGCGATTCCATGATGGAAGGAGCCCATTCATAATGGGAACTGATTCTGTAACAGGATTTCTTTATTTGGGAAATAACAAAGAAGAAAGGAAACCTTTTCTGAAAATGTTGCTTGGGACCCAAGAATGTGAATTTACACAATTACTGAGACATTGTCCTTTGACCCTAGCTTGATGGTGTAGAAAGTGAACACAGAAATATACTTATGTTTCAAATATGATAGTTCCGATAGTCTGTAAGTGAAAAACAACAACTGAAACTATAAAATGGAAAGTTTTAAATAAAGTAAGAAAATTCTTTAGTGATCCCGTAATTGTTCAGGGTGAATGTCCAAGCAGCATTTACATAATGAACTCTGCAAAGGAGTCAAACAATGAAGAAAAGAAAAAGAAGAAGAAAAAGAAAAAGAAACAGAAACAGAAATTGGCAATGTCCCAGGACATTTCCATCATTGTAGCTGGTTCTATTGGACAGTGCTAACTGGAGGTTGACAACAACTAGACCAGATGGCAATTTCATTAGAGAAAACAAAAATGGAATTTGATATACAATTGAGTAATTAGATTGGACAAAAATCATTTTAATATTGAACGATCATTTATCATGTGACCAGTGACTTAAGAGGGCCTTAACATTCCTTTTGCCTGACTAAAATTTTGAGAGGCTCCTTCCTCTGAAATCCCTTTTCTCAAATTATTGTCTTTAGAAAACTTGTCACTGTAAATCATTTCTCTGTCCCTCTGAGATGTATACAAGCCTTTTAAAAAGCTCGCCAGTGTTACAAGCCAGGAATATCTTTCTCCATAACCTGGGTGCTGTTTCTTTGAAACATAATCACCAAAGGAGACAGCACCTCTGTCTCCCAGGTCCTGGGGGAGGGGAGGAGCCTAACTTCAGTAGGCACCTTGATCCAAGTTGCTAAACTACCTCCTGTCATAAAGGTAGGAGACATTTATTTTTCTTTTAGATATAGCCAATTAGCAAACACAGATGGCCTGTCACTTCCCTCCAACATTCTCCAGTTCACCCGAGTCCTTTAAAAAACCTACCCCTTCTCCAGCGAAGTTGAGTTCGGAGTTAGTTCTGACACTTGGAGTTAGTTCTCCCCTAATGCAATAGCCCTGAATAAAGTCTTTCCTGCCTATTTAACTTTGGTGCAACCTTTGCTTTGACAAAAGTTTTTGGAAAATGATGAAAACAGTCATTCAAACTAGTGTCTTAGTTTATACTGAAAATAGTTTTGATAAGTTTCTTAAGGTAAACCACCTGTTGAATGGCCCATGCAGGTAATCAGTTATGTGGGCAGGGTGAAATGGTTTGACTGCAGAGATGAATACAATTCTAGGATTTAAGGGTACAGACTTGCAATTACATGCAGCCATGCCTGAAATGGCTTCAACAGCACACATACCTGTAACCCAGTTTAACTGCTCTACCATGAAAACATGATGGGAAAGGAGGCCAAGCTTTCTGATCTACGAACATTTCCTTCTGGAACATGCTCTTCCTCTAGCTGAACATCAAAGGAAACTCCAGCTAGGCTTGGAACGGTGGAGCTGGGTTCACCAGTGGGTCCTCCCGGTGATCTATTACCATTAGGATTTCCAGGCCCAACCAAGGTCGCTTGTAGCCCAAATCCACATTCCCAGGTGTTCTTCCAGTTTATATTCTCTGCAGATTTCAGGGAAGTAATCACCATATCTGTCGGCTTTTTCTCAGCATGTTGTCAAAGTTGAATCACTATTAATAAAAATGCACTTTCTTCTCAGAGAGTAAGTCCGACAGCTTGTGGAGAGACAGCTCTTTGAAGTGATTTTCTTTCCTTTCTCAGTGATATTCCAGGACATTTACTTCCATTACCACCTGAGCACCAAAGGGAGTCAGAAGATGTTGACTCCATCCAGCTTTTGTTCCTGGTTCAGTATCTTTTTTTAAATAAAAAATTAGATTTGGAGAGAGATGGTTTTGCAGGGTGGAGGTTGGGGTGGGCGTCAGAGGAATCACGGACTTTCATTAGTACTAAAGATACCTGAGGATATACAGATGTATTTATATATTTCTGGTGCTTTATAATTTTCAGAAAGTTTTCATGTTGATTCTTTCAATCCTCCCAACAATCCTGTGGAGGTGGGTTTTAGTATTTGCCCATTTTACACAAACAAACAAAACACACTAGGAAGCTTAGAGACACTGAGTGGCAAGCAAAACCTGCAGAAGGGTGGTCTGTCACTACTGTCCCCACTTCTCATTGCCATTCTCTGTGACTCATGGCAGTCTGTGCCTGGGCTCCTATCACTGCCCGAAACCACTCCCTCCAAGGTCTCCCACAGCCTGTGTGGAAACCTTCCAGTCCTTATCTACACAGAGTATTGTCAGCACTTGACTTTGTGGGCCACACCCTCCATGGTTTCTGGGACACCACATTCCTTTGTCTTTTCTCTTGCTTAACCAGCTGCCCTTCTAAGGACTTAACTTCCTCCACCTCAGAGCTTCCCAACAGGCAGGAAGCAAAGAGACTGACTGCTTTACTCAGGCAGGTCCTGGAAGTACACCCCCTCCTAGCCGATGGCCGTGATTACAAGCATTTTCACCTAAGAAGAGTGGATCTGAAGTTGTGCCACACTCCTTCCCAGCAGTATATGAAACTCACTTCTCTACTGAGTAGCCCTGGTAGGGGCCAAGTTGCGCATCAACTTTAGTAGCCCAAAGAGGGGAGTGCACAGCTCAAGATACAGTTGGCAGTGGTGAGGAAGCCAGGTAAGGGCTCCTTCCTGTGGGAGAAGCAATCAGAGGACCAAATTCGATCTTCAAATGTATTAGGGTCAATTCCACTTTTAGTCTTCTCCAAGGTCACTGCAGGATGCAAGCTTATTCACCAAGAGAAAATTTGATTGGATTATAAATCCAGTCTCATCTTTGCAAGAAATTTACTACTACATTTGTCAATGAAATAAAAAAAAAAGAAAAGAAAGGGCTGATAGAGCCTTTAAATAGAATATCAGCTATCACAAATGTTTGAGTGGGTGTAAAAATGGCCTTACATTTTTTAATTACCTATTTGTGTGAACATTTACCACCAATGGTAATGATCAAGAATATGACAATCAAGCACAGGGAACTATATTCAATATTTGGTAGTAACCTACAATGAAAAAGAATATGAAAAGAAATACATGTATGTATATATATGACTGAAACATTATGCTGTACACCAGAAACTGATTATACTTCAATTAAAAAATATTAAGAATATGAAAAAAAGAGTTAATCAGAAAATTCAACACTCTGTTCCTTGGGGGAAAAAAAGAAAAATATGAGAATCAGATCTCCCTGAGCAGAGGAAAGAAACCATGTCTGTTTTAAAACTAAATGGCAAGTAGATATTCAAAAACCTCACCTACCACGTATCAGCTGAAAGGCCTAAAATCCAACTCCCAACTCCAACTGCTCTTCAATGATTTTGCTTCTCAAGCCAGTGTGCCACAAGTCACAGGGCCCACGGTGTCCAGCTTCAATAGAACTGTGCTGGACAGGAAGCCCAGGGGTTCCAAGAGCAACAGGGACCTGGCTTGGAGCAATACCAATTTTGGCTGCAAAATCACCTCCAACCAGGCCTATTCCAGCTCAGGAGTTCCCTGTGATGCCAAGTTGGTAGAGAAAAACTTTGAGACAGACATGAACCTGAACTTCCAAAGCCTGTCACTGACTGGGCTCTGCATCCTCCTGCTGACAGTGTCCGGGTTTACCTGCTCCTGGTGCTGTGGCTGAGGTCCAGCTGATGTCGCCAAGATTGAGGCCTCTGAGGGCCCCCTGTGCCCTTCCTTGCTCCTCATCACCCCCTCCTCTTTCCCTTCAAGCCAACTCCCTGTCCCCTTGAAAGAAAAGTTTCCTTCCACCTCCTTGGCCCCACTGGCAATGCCACCGATTGGGTCTGACAGGGTATTTGTGATGGAGATGCTGAAGATCTGCCAAACACTGCTGCCACCTGCCCTGGTCCCTCATTACTGCTTGTCACTGCCTGATGTTCCCAGCAAAGGTTGGGGCTGCTGCAGCCCCTCCTGACTGTGGAAACACTCCCTACCCCTCCCTAGAGATTGCCTCTGATGGATGGTGGGTCCCCAGTGGGGTCTCTTGGTCTCTAGCTCCTGGGGAAGGTTGTGAGGAGTTTATATTGTCAACATAGTGTTCACAAAGAAATACGTATCACTTTTTCCCAAGATGTGGATGAAATGATCTCATTATCTAGACCCCGCTGTACTATGTATCCAAGCCACGTTATGTATTCTGCTGCCCATGGTTTCATTCAAAGTGATTTGGAAGAGGAAAAAAAAAGTTGAGGAGATCATGCATAATTAGAAAGAAGGTATATCCATTTCAAACATAAAATCTGATACTAAAAAATCAGCTTAAATATTACATAAATTCAATATTTAGCATCCCTACTAATTTTTTTTTACATACATATCTACCTCATTTATTTTTGGGTTCTTTTGAGGGGGTAATTAGGTTTGTTTGCTTGTTTGATTGATTGATTGATTGATTGATTGGTTTTTACCAGAAGTACTGGGGATTGAACCCAGGACCTTGTGAATGCTAAGCATGCACTCTACCACTGAGCTATACCCTCCCCTCTCTTCATTTGCATCCCTACTATTTTTTCTTCTCTTATTATAGTTATGGTATGTAAAGAAATTATTATTATGGATTTAATTGTGTTCCCCTCAGAAGATATGTTGAAGTCCTAACCAGTACCAGTCCTAACTCAGAATATGATGCTATTTGGAAATAGTGTCATTGCGTCTATAGTTAGTTAAGATGAGGTCATATTGGACAGAGGAATGTGGACCTGCTAATCCAATATGACTGGTTTCCTTGCAAAAAAGATGGTCATATGAAGACAGAGATACACAGGAAGAACACCATGTAATGACGAGGGCTGATATCCTAGTTAGGCAGTTTCAAGTGAAAAAAAAAAAAAAAAAAAGCCAAAGACTGATGGCAAACCACCAGAAGCAAGGAAGCAAGAGAGAAGCAAGGAAAGATTTCCTTTATAAGATTCAAAAGGAACATTGCTCTGCTGACACCTTGATTTTGGACTTAAAGTTACCAGAACAGTGAGACAATATGTTTCTGTTCTCTTAAGCCCCCCTGTTTGTGGTACTTTGTTGTGGCAGCCCTAGGAAACCAATACAGAAGGGAATGAAAAGTTTCACCAAGTCCACATAGACACCCCTGAATCTCTTACAGTTTACTTGCAGTGTGCCACACAAATGCTATTTTCTTTTTCATTATAGTTTATTACAAGATGTGAAATATAATTCTCTGTGCCATACAGGACCTTGTTGTTTATTTTATATATAGTAGTCTATATCTGCTAATCCTCAACTTCTTTTTTTTTTTAATTGGGTTATAGTCAGTTTACAATGTTGTGTCAATTTCTGGTGCCAAACTTCTAATTTATCCCTCCCTCTCCCCTTTCCTCTTTGGTAACCATAAGTTTGTTTTCTGTGTCTGTGAGTCTGTTTCTGTTTTATAAACAAGTTCATTTGTATCATTTTTTAAGATTCCACATATAAGTGATACTGTATAATATCTGTCTTTCTCCGTCTGACTTACTTCACATAGTATAATAACCTCTAGGTCCATCCATGTTGCTGCAGATGGTATTATTTCATTCTTTTTTATGGCTGAGTAATATTCAAATGCTATTTTCTATGTGTGTTCTGATATGTTCAAAGTTGGGAAACACAGTCCTCCACTCTCTGAAAACACCGACATTTCCTAGGAGGTTTGTCCTTGGCCGTCTTCTCAGTGAACCCATTCTTGCTGAGTAATCTTATCTAGTCAATTTATATCTGAAAGTTTACTACTTCAACTCTGTGTCTCTAAGCTCAGATCTCTCTCCTGAGCCCCAGACCTTATATCCAACTGTCTGCTGAACTTGGAGTCCCCACAATCACTCAAGAGTACAAGACCCAAGGGACATAATACAGGGAATTCAGAGTGGCTTGAATTTAGATTTTCAAGAGAGCTTGGAGACGTAGGTGTCTGGGCATTGCTTCTGGGCATAGCTCAAACATTTTCCTCTTTAAAGCAGAGATCCATCACTGGTTTCTTCCTTGAGCCCACTTCCCATCCCGATTAAGGCAGTGCCAATAATCATTCCTGTGAAATAGCATCACCCTGGGGAGCCTAAAATACTGGCTAAATAAAGTACACAATTTATGAGAATTCAACCACACTAAAATAGAGCCAAATATGCCACATGTAACAACTGGCTAGTTCATGATATTAAAGAGAAATTATTCACCAGAAATCATTCACTACTCTTGTTGAAAGTAGCAAGACAGATTTTATGTGAGCTACTGCAGTAGAAGAGAGAGACTTCAGGATAGAACTGAGCTAAACTTGGCAAAACAAAAGGCAGGAGGCTTTTTCAATGCTGGGTGTGTCAAAGGAAAAGTCTTGAAGGCCATCAGGGGGCTTCGGGCTGTGACTAGGCCATCTGCGTTTGCTAACTGGCATGTACTGAAGGTAGGCTCTTATTTTCCCCAGGGGCCTAGGAGACAGGGCCCTGTCCTTAATGATTACATTTCAAAGGGATGGTTCCCATATCCTTGAGAAAGACATTCCTGGGTTGTAGAAAATACAATCTCAAAGAGGCAGAGAAAGGATTTGCAATGGCAAGCTTTCTAAAGTCAATGCTCTAAGAAAAGTGAGGTCATGGGCCTACAGTCAGGTTTTTGCTAGAACAAACAATAAATTCTTTAGGCAGTATTGAGTTTTTTCAGGCATGGCATTTTAAGGGGACTGGGGTCATCATCCTAGGAACACTTTGAGCTGATAGAAACTATGTCAGTGTTTGTTCAAGTCTCTTAGTATGAAGAATGGATGAAATCATTTGTGCTAAAAGTTACAGTTCTTAAAGGCAAAAGTGGAGGCCTAGTCAAGATGAGGGCTCAGAGGAGCCTGACTAAAGTTTATCCAAGAAGAAAGTCTTTGTCAATGACTATAGGAATTAATATAAATTTCCTCTCATAATACCAATATTCTCAAAGAATACAATGCAAGTTATTAATTTTTCACTATTTCAAAAATACCTAACAGTCCAGACATATGCCTTTTGTGAAAAGCAAGAGTCAGACTCAAAAAACTTGAGATGTCTCTTATCACTAGTGTCCAAGAGGCAGAAATTTAATTCATATCAGTGGGCTAAGATGCTGAGAAAGGAGTTTATTAGAAAAACAAGTGATAAGGCCTCTGCTATCTCTGTCTTTGGTTTGCATATTTTATCATAAGTAAGCAAATGGACTTTGTATCTTACCAATGTATTTTACCTTGAAACTTGCCTTGTGCTCTAAGGAAAAGCCAAATCATTCAACAAATACTCATTGTGTGCCCACCACATGCTAGGCACTGTTCTTGGCCCTGAAGACACAGTGGTGAATAAGACAAACTGACCTCTGCCTTTAGGGGGCTCTCATTCTAACAGTGAGAGACAGACAATAAATGAGTAAACAAATAAGATAATTTCAGTTAGACCATTTTATAAAAAATTACTGTACATTAATTCAAACAGGGTGATAAGACAGAGTGTGATGGTCTGGGAGGGATCTGCTTTAGGTGTGGAGCTCAGGGAACCTCTCTGAGCAGGCATCTGAGTTGGACTCTGAATGATCCTGTGGTCACACAAAGATCTGGGGGAAGAGCATGCTGGACAGAGGGCATATGTGCAAATGCCTGGCACATGTGCAAATGCCTTGATGTGGAAATAGTTTTGGTGAGTTTACCGAACAGAAAGGAGTCACTGAAGCATAGTGAATGAGCTGGGAGTGGTCTGAGATGTGGATGGAGAAGAGTCAGTTTACACAGGACATCAGAGGCAGCCATGAGGAGTCAAGATTTTGTTCTAAGTACAGTGGAAACTCAGGAAGGATTTTAAGCAGGGGAGTGAGAACATCATAGACAGATAGACAGACAGATAGATAATCTCTCTTTATCTATCTATCTTTTAATCACTTTGATTGTCAGTGTGAAAAAGAATGGCAGGGGATAAAAGTGGGAATAGGAAAGCCGTTTTGAGGTATTAGAAAAGTCTGGAGAAAATGTGATGGAAGCTTGTACTAGGGTGGTAGTGGTAGAGAAGAAAGATTAATGAGATGAAGAGACAGGGTAGAGATGAACAGATTCAGGATATATTTGAAAGGGGAACTGATTTATGAATGGATTGGACTCTGGAAAAGGAGGACACTGATTTATGGCTTGAGAGAAATACTAGGGGAAAATAGGTTTAAGGTCAGGGATGAGAGTTAAGTTTAAAACGAGGTGTCAACCAGGCACTGCACATATGAATCTAAAATTCAGGAAAGGGTTCAAGTTCAAGATGTCCATTGGGGAGTCATCAACATACAGACAGTATTTAAACACATGACCTTTAGGATTCAAGGAACACAAAACAGAATCCAAAATGGAAATATTTTAGCTGAATGGGCAGATGAGGTGAATATACTTGTCTATGTTACTTATTACATTTAGTGGTAATTTTATTATGTATTGTGTATGTACATTTTATATGCTATATGTTAAGTGTGCCCTTGGGCAAACTTAATAAATATCATGGGGGCAGGGAGAGAGACTTTGCCATTATGTTGTATGTTTCCTGGTGTTGCAATCTTCAAAAGTATTTATCCATTTTTCAAATCAACAGTGCTTCATATGCTAATGTACACTTACTGGTACAAAGGCAGAGAATCTCCTGGAGCACTCCT